TGTTCCCGCGGATGAAGAGGTTACAGACATAGCCCTGAATCCTTTTGTAGAAGGAAGGACCATCAGCTTAGGAGTCTTCACTTGGAGTCCCAGCGACATGATGGGGATTCCCCCGAATTGGGCGTACACAAACTCAATGTCGACCCTGGCGCGCGGCCCATACAGCAGAGGAGGCGGAAGATGGCTCCCGAGCGCAATGCCGCCATCGATGCGAAGGTTTCTAAGTTGTTGGCCGCGTCCATTCTCATGGAGATCTTCTATCCCACATGGTTGGCCAACCCGGTCGTGGTCAAAAAACCCGACTCTTCTTGGCGTATGTGTGTGGATTATAAGGATCTCAATAAACACTGCCCCAATGATTGCTACCCTCTTCCGGTAATCGAGCAGAAGGTCGACGCTATCTCGGGGTACCCTGTGCTTAGCTTTCTGGATGCGTACAAAGGGTACCATCACTGAAAGGGGAGTTTTCTCCTACGTCAAAATGCCCTTTGGTATCAAGAATGCGGGTGCTACTTACCAACGTGTGGCTAATCGCATCTTCGGGGACCAGCTGGGACGAAACATAGAGGTCTACGTTGATGATATGGTGGTGAAAAGTCGTCGGATGGACCTTGTTGTCAATCACCTCCAGGAGACCTTCCAGACCCTCAGAGCGGCTAATATGAAGTTGAATCCGAAGAAATGCGTGTTCTGTGTCGGATCAGGAAAGTTCCTGGGTTATTAGATTTCTCGGAGAGGGATTGATGTGGATCCTACAAAGATTAGAGCCATCCTGGAAATGCAGCCTCCGCGGTCCGTCAAAGAAGTACAAAGACTTACAGGCTCTATTGCCGCCTTAGGGCGATTCCTGTCGAAGGCGGCTGAATGAAGCTTACCATTTTTCCAGGTTCTTAAGAAGTACGACACCTTCGGCTGGACCGGGGCTTGTCAGAAAACCTTCTTGGAACTCAAAGAACACTTGAGGACTCTCCCGACCCTGAGCACATCAGATCCGGGGGAAACGCTGATTTTGTATTTAGCCGTGGGCGAGTCCACGGTGAGTGTAGCCTTGATGCGGGAACATAAGAGAAAGCAGATTCCTGTTTATTATGTCAGTAAGGTCCTTCTCCCCGCCGAGTCTCGGTACACCCCTGCTGAAAAATTGATTTTTTGCCTTGTGACCGCGGCCCAGAAGTTGCGCCCCTATTTCCAGGCGCACCCGATTCTTGTTCTTACGGATCAGCCCCTACAGCAAATTCTCCGAAGGTCTTACGCGTCGGGCCGGATGACTAAGCGGGCTGTGGAACTCGGGGAGTATGACATAGAATTTTGGCCTCGGACCTCTATCAAGGGCCAAGCTTTGGCTGATTTCCTTGTCGAAGTCCCTCGTGGGGTGGAAGCCGAGGCTAGTGAATGTTATCAAGAGCCTGAAGGATCTTCCCCTGCCGGACAGCAACTATGGACTCTGTTCGTCGACGGGTCCTCCTCTAGAGAAGGTTCGGGCGCGGGCGTAGTTTTGATCGATCCCCACGGGTCGGAAATTGTTTATGCCATCCAATTGGATTTTCCTGCCACAAACAATGAGGCCGAATATGAAGCACTGATTGCGGGGCTATCTATTGCCTGTGCTCTCTGTGTTCAGGAAATCTCAGTTTGCAGTGATTCTCTGGTAGTTGTCAATCATGTCCTTCAGCTGTACGAAGTTCGGGAGGTGGTGCTCCAAAAGTATCTTCGGAAAGTCAGGGTATTGGAATACGGCTTCCGTGTCTTCCACATCCGGTATATACCGGGGTCGCAGAACAAAAGGGCCGATGCTCTGAGTAAGTTAGCTTCTTCTCGCGCCATACGCTTAGCACAGTAGATTCACATGGAAGTCAAGACGCGTCCGAGTATCCTGGACGACGAAGTCTTACCTGTGATGATGGACGAGGTATCTTGGATGACACCCTTTGTCCAATACCTCCAGACCGGGACATTGCCCGCAGACCCAAGAGAGGCTCGGAGGATTCGGCTCAAGGCGCCAAAATATCTGATGAGGGATGGCATCCTCTACAAGCGAGGGTACCTAACACCCTTACTGCGCTGTGTTGGGCAGCAGGAAGCTGAGACCTTGATCCGGAGCATGCACGAAGGCGTTTGTGGGGCTCACTTAGGTTCACGTAATTTGGCCAAGAAACTGATCCGTGCCGGATATTACTGGCCTACCTTGTCCCAAGATTGCTACAACATTGTCCTTTGGTGCGCGCAGTGCCAAAAACATGCCCCTATTCCGCGTCTACCCCAACATGAGATGGTCCCTATTGGCAGCCCATGGCCTTTCTACAAGTGGGGGACGGACATAATAGGGCTCTTCCCATTGGCCCCGGGTAAGCTCAAGTTCGTGATCGTTGCAATTGACTACTTTTCTAAATGGGTCGAAGATAAACCTCTTGCCTCCACCACAGGGGCAAACGTGGCCAAATTCTTCTGGAAGACATCGTCTGCCGGTTTGGGATCCCGAAAGTCCTCATCTCAGATAACAGAAGTCAGTTTGAATCGGGGATTTTTACATCTTGGTGTGAGCAGTTCGGGATCGAACAGCGGTTTTCGTCCGTGGCCCATCCTCAGGCCAACGGATTGGCTGAAAATATAAACAAGGCCATCTTACAAGGCATGAAGACACGGCTTAAGGAAGCCGAGGGCCTATGGCCCGAGGAGCTGGCCCACGTCCGCTGGGCCATCCGCACCACTATGAGGACGGCCACCAAGGCAACCTCTTTTAGCCTCGTTTATGGCATGGAAGCCGTCCTCCCAGCTGAAATAGAGGTGCCCAGTCCCTGGGTGGTCAACTTCACAGAAGAAATGAACGAAGACGAAATCCACATGTGCCTCGATTTCCTGGACGAACGACGAGACCTGGCCAAAGCCCGCGAAGCCAAATACAAGCAGATCATGGCCAAGTACTACAATGCCAAGGTCCGGGCCCGGGACTTTGAAGTCGGAGACTTAGTCCTCCGACAGAACGAGGTGAGCCACGCCGAGCCGACCGAAAAGTTAGCTCCGAATTGGGAAGGACCATACAAGGTTGTGGAAGCTTCTCCCTCAGGGAGTTATCGCCTACGCACGTGTAATGACGAGCCCCGCGACATCCCCCGATGGTGTAACATCCAGAACCTTAGGAAGTTCAATTTCTGAAAGCTTCAGCCTACTTTTGTAATAGATATTAGCCAAGCAGAACTCCGGCACCTTTGCTGTTAATATACTACTTCATGTGCCTTCGTACAAATTCCATCCTGAAACCATGTGACCTCCGCGGCCTGCGGAACTGCTACGGTCTCCGTGACCTTGGAGCATTTACAAAGCCGTCTCGACCCCAGTGACCGACGGCACCGTGTGGCCTCCGTGGCCTACGGAACCCCTACGACCTCCGTGACCTTGGGGCATTTACAAAGCCGTCTCGACCCCAGTGGCCGACGGCACCGTGTGGCCTCCGTGGCCTACGGAACCCCTACGGTCTTCGTGACCTTGGGGCATTTACAAAGCCGTCTTGACCCCAGTGGCCCACTGCACCGTGTGGCCTCCGCGGCCTACGAAACCTCTATGGTCTCCATGACCTTGGGGCATTTACAAAGCCATCTCGACCCCAGTGGCAGACAGCATCGTGTGGCCTCCGCAGCCTACGAAACTCCTACGGTCCTAAGGCCCCCACGATCCTCGGTCAGGTACGGTTTAACTAAGCATCGACTAAGTTAGTGCAACATCAGTAATACAGTTGAAATATAAAATCCGGGGGAAGGTACTTATATCACCTCCGTCATACCATAGCAAAGAGCGTTGGTAATAAACAGAATTTTACATACATAACCGTAAAAACATGAATAATAATAAAACGAGTAAATAAGAAAAAGCAAAAATAAGTCGATGTTCAAAAAGGATGAATCAATTATATATGTGTGAGTTTTCGAAGGCATGGCCCTCGGATATATACATTTAGCAAAAACACACCAAAAATCACCTATTACCTAACCAAAAATCACCTAACCTAATTACATGTCCCTAGTGAGACCCCCGACCCAATTCGAAGAACAGAGCGTCGTTCTCATATATTAAGTGTTTAGCTTCACGAGTCGGAGAAGTGGGGTCGTCCCGCATAGCCGGACAGGGTTCGGGCCACAATGCCTCAAAATCATATTCCTTCCCCATCTCTACGATGAAGGATATCGCGCATTCGAAAGCTACCTGAAACTGACCAGCATACGCCCGAAGAGCCTCGATCTTGTCAGAGGACCGATCCCACTTCACAGCGACCAGGCATAAGCCTTCCGGAGATGTAACAAGACACTCTCAAAATAGTTGCGGGGGATAAAATCCTCCTAGTCGGGTTCGGCTAAGCCCTCGTCCTTCTTCTTCTTCCGTATCTTGGCTTCGAATGTCCGAAGGCGATTTGTTAGCCAACATCTCTAACTGTATAGAGTTCTTCAGGTGGTCCTCCCAATAGGCCTCCGTATCCCTCCATAACTTATCCAGCCGGTCGTTTTCGGCCTTCGCCTCGATGACGGCCTTGCGTGCCTCGTGTAGCTCCGAGGCCCTGAAAGTTTGCAAGGCCTCTTCTAGCTGGCCCTCGAGACCCGACAGTCGTCCTCAGCTCCTATCGACGTTCGGATCCACCAATGCGCTTCCTACAGCCACGTACAGTGGCAAGGTCGTCGGGTCATGATGAGGATCGGGCAATTGTAAGTCGATCCAGGGAATCCCAGACGTTTCCCAATGACCCGGAGTCGCGGGCACGCCTCGAGAAGTTCCCTCGGGCTGAGGGGGGAAGTCCGAAGCTGCGTCCTTCCCCTGTAAGGAAGCGCGTGTTAATGGAAAGGTTAGGAGGCGCGCATTCCCAGAGGTAAAAATAAGTTTGTACCGATGAACAGACACTTGATAAAATAAATGAACATAATTATAATCAAATTTGATAAACGCACGAGTTTGAAACAAGGGGACGAGGAAATAACAAATCAACCGTGAATAAATAAAAAGTTCATTAATATTCGGTTAAAACTCATAGATACAATGGGGAGAGCCCCAAAGACAGGTGATCACTAGGAATCCTAACCCTACGCATCGTTCACCTTGTCCCCGCTGTTGGTGTTGGAGTCGGTCGAAGTTCCCCCTCCTCCTCGGCTTATGGAGTTGTGCCCTTGGGGTGGAGGTACAGATGCAACTATCTCTGGCTCCTCATCGGGCCCCGGTGGCGTGCTCGGAGGCGTCTGCATCCCCCTTGGCATCTGGAAGACGAACGAAGGGTTGCCCGGGATATTTAGAATGTTCTCGGGCATCAAGACGGAGGGGCAAGTCCCGACGATATGTTGCATGATTGGGAGATCTGCGAAGTCCATATCCCGAAAGTGCTTCCTGGCCTTGCACCGCAACCATACTGCTAACGTCTTCCCCTTCATCTTCCTATCAGCATATTTGTTGAGGATGGGCTGGATGTCCTCGTTCTTCCTCTGGGCCGCCTTGATTTCCATGACGACCTTCCTCGCTCCCCTTTTCATGGCGGGGTCCATGACGTAGTTTATCCCGAGGGCGAACTCGGATGACCCCAGGTACCTCTGGACTCCCGCAAGGATGTACGTGTCCAGGCGAGATTTTGGGACGCTCGTTGCCAGCAGACTCTCCATTTGAAGGCTATGGGTCAGCTCCATGCCTTCGAGCAGCCCCTTCATCCTCGTAACCTCCTCTTCCAGGCGCCCTCTCTCCCCTTCCAAGTCCTAGAGCCGTGTCTCCGCCTCTCTAGCCCTATTGGCCTCGCTCGTGGCCTTCCTCCTGGCCGAAAACAGTTGCCCCTCCGGGTCTGCGCACACAGTCACGAACGAGTTCACCGCCTGCACAGCCTGTACATGGATGTCCCTGATTAGAAGGGGAACTTCTCGAGTACGAGGAGCAGGTACTTAGGAAGAAGAAAAAGGAAGAAGAAAAAACAACTTTTACCTGTCTCATGCCGTCCTCCAGGCTTGGAACCCCGGCATCGGGCAGGTCCGCACATTCGACCCGTGGAGGGTCGAACGTTAGCAGAGCGTGACCTCCGGGTACACCCTCGAACAATTCATCTCCTCGTCCTTGATCCGCGTATCCCTCCTTCAGAAGTTCGTCAATGGAGGATAATTCATGGATCGCGGGTAAGCTGAATGACAACGGATGGACCTCCACTACCTCAGGATCTCCCCGCTTCTTTTTTGATGACCTGAGGTTTGGCTCGAATGGTTCCTCCTCCTCGAACTTTCGGCACGCGCCCTCGTTATCTGACTGGGAGGTGCTTGTCCCATCTCTGGCTGGGGAGTTCCTTGTGGCCTCTCCTCGGGATATTGTTCCTCCTCGTATGAATCATCAAAAGCCGAGCGTTTACCCATCAGATTAGCAAATATACCTATCAACAGAAAAATAACCAAAGTTAGTCTTCGGGTAAAATACCTTGGTTACGAGAGCTGATCGTATCGCTTAATGACGCGATTTGCCTATAGGTATAGGTCTTCTTCCACCCGGCCAATTTCTCTTAGTCCCCCCTCCGGGTTTTAATGTCTTTCTTATCCTTCTTGGTCCATGGATCTAAGCTGATCGTTCCCCCCTCGTCTGACGTCCACGGAAAGGGGGAGACGAAGTCCGCGTCCACATAAAAGAAGCCCGACCTTCAATGCTTGAAACTCTCATTCTTCGCTACTAGTTCTTTGGGAGGTCCGTGTGGATTCTTGGTAAAGCTGAACCATCGGGGGAAGCTTTTCCCGCATCGGACGAGTTTGTAAAAACACCTAAATAAGAAGACGTCTGGCTCTACCCCCGTCTTGTTACATACGTGTACAAAGGTTAGCACTATGGTTATGAGGTTCGGGGTGTATTGGGCTAAGGGTCGGCTGTAGGCCTCCACTATCTTCCTGAACATGGGCATCAGGGGAAAGTGTAACCCATATTCCAAAAACTTCTCATAAATTGTGATTTTTCTCGGAGGGGGAGTGTTGGCCCTCTCATGGCCTTCTGGCAATGTGGGGTTGACGGCCGTAAGGCTGTAGCGGTTTTCTAAGTCACTTAACCTATCCTGGGTTAACGAACACTCGACATCCTCTACCCTAACTACTTCTTTGGCCATTTGGCAAGTCGAACGTACAGAAGAAGAGGGAGACTTACTTGTTGAGGGTCGGTTAGGAGTCGTTACGGTTAGTCGCCGGTCGTATGATTCTGATGTCCGAACAGCAGTATGTTGTGATTTACGAAAAAGAAAAAGAGAGGAGAGAAAATCGGAGCTCTGAATGCTTAAGACTTGAGAACGAAAGAAAGAAAAGTGAATTTCGGTGTCCTGGGGGGAGTTTATATACTCCAGAGGAGGGGAACAGTCCCCTCGATTCTCCATCCGGCGCCATCATTATGGCGCGGCTCCCCATGAAATCCTGCCCGTCCATCCCATTTGAGCGGGAAGGATCAATTGTCGTTGGATCTAGGGCGGTTGTGAAGAAGAAGATTCTGGAAGATGGGCTCGCTTGTTGGGCCTACAATTTCTTTGTGTCAAGCCCAATCCGGCTTTGCTGTATTGGGCTTGACAGGGGCATTTGTTGGGGGTCAATCCTGACCCATCCGGGCCGGCCCCAACTTGCCATCCGACTTGGGCTCATCTTACAAGCCCAAGTCGTCCATTTATTTGATTCCTTTGGGCCCAACCGGTTCACAAGGAATTAACACATGTCTATTTACGCTTTTGCCCCTCTCGACATAGGGGCCCACAGGTATTGTCTCATTGAGGACCTATAAATATTCCTTGATTCATTTATTGCTGATTCAATTCTACACTTCCGTTTCTCTCTCTAAGTGTGACAATTACCTACTTCTCTCCCTAGAACTGACTTGACCTTCGGAGTGCTAACCTCCGTTTTGCAGGTTCCCGTGTAGGTCGGACCGTTGACTCTCCGCCGCCGGGATTTACCCTCGACAGTAATGAATCTTTAAGATGAATAGATTAAGTTAATTTATTTTTCTGCACACATATAGGTTATGCGAGATTTAATTAGAATGTAAAAATTGTTGGTTTTAGTCAAATGTAAATTATACTAGATGCAGTCAAGTAATTAGTAAGCCCTGCCATTTTTTTGTTCTACAAATGAGTGATTAACTTTATTTGTTATGTTGATCTACTATATGTTCAAGAATCTTCTGTTTATTTATTATTATTACTTTAGTAAATTCAATGTAGATGTCTATTACTGACCCGTGCAAATATATAATGTGAATTTTCGAGGGAATTGCACACCGAATTTGCCCACAGTTGCAGCGGCAGCTGGGATTGGGGAAGAAGACTAGAAGGCCATTCCATTAAAGTAGTACTGCCCTCTTATTCATTAATGTTTTTTTTTTCTTTTTCAAAAAATTAATTTATTTTTATTTTATAAAGCAACATAGCATGAAGTCAGAATTCACAATAACATAAAGGAGACCAACTTCTAATGAATCAATCCCTTTTCACTTACCGTTTCAAAAACAGAAAAAAGAAAAAGCTGTGCAAGATGCTCTGCTTCTCAATGAGTTTGTGCATATTTGCTAAACGGATTAATGATTTTGTTACTTCCACATCTTACATTAATTTTGGATACTCTTAAATTGATCTAAAATTGAATTTACCAGAAATGATCTTATGAATTTTAAACAAATTATTTATCATATTGTCAAGTAAAAAAACAAATTTGAACAATGATTCGCCGCGCTAAGCGAGAGCACGATACTAGTAACAATAATTATAAAGCTGAACAAGATGATCGGATGCGATGGTTTTAAGTATGCATCTATAATCTATATCTATAATCTATAATATATAATCTTCTATAATAACCTCCATTACAACAAAAATTACTTTTTTCCTAAAAATTCAAGTGTCATTATTTCTTTAAAAGTTTCCTCTCTAAATTTTTTTAAAAATTAATAATTAAAAAATAAATAAAAAAATCCGAATGGTAATTTTATACACCATAAAAAACTCCTAAGGGCAATTTGCGGTGGTCAAAAAATAAAAAAATAAAAAATATTCTAATCTTCATCAAAGTGTACATCTATTGTAGGAAAGTCTCCTCAACACAAAAGGAAAATCAATATAAACAAAACAAAAATAAAAGACGGGTTATTCCAACTCTACTAAATTTAGCTAATTTCAATACACCATTGATGTGGTCTAAAAAGTTAATGACAGTGGCTATAAATGTTTTATTTCTCACTTTGAGGAAAATTGCCTAATTTGGGTCCTCTAATTTTTATTTTTTAAAAATATTTATACTAGAGTGGACCATAATCATTTTGGGTTATTAGTGTACTTTTTAGGAAGTAATTTATAATATTATAGACTAAATTATTATACAATACTATTTTTTTTTCCAAAAAGGGACATAATAAAATTTAATTTTATTAATTATATTTAAAAAATGTAATTAACTAAATGCATAAAAAATTTCATAATTTAAAAATATAATTAACTAACCATCCAATACTTGTACTTCATTGCATGTGGAGCTCATCCAATATTCAAAAGCATTTCCACGGATGAATCTGTTCTTCTGGCTATAAGTCTCAAATAAAACATGATCCCTTCAACACATTAGCTAGCAATTGGACCAAAAGCACCCCTGTTTACGATTGGATAGGCATCACCTGCAGCCAAAAGCACCAAAGAGTTGTGGCCTTGAATCTATCCGGTGGATCGTTCCAAGGTACAATAGCCAAAGAAGTTGGGAATCTCTCCTTCCTTGTTTCTCTTGACATAAGCGAAAACAAGTTCTATGGCTTCATCCCAGATGAAATCAGCCATTTGAAGCGGTTGCGATATCTGTATATGCAGCTCAATGCGCTAACCGGCCAGATTCCATGGAGTTTTGGGTATCTCACCCGAATGGAAGACCTGTTGGCATTTTTGTTAATTTATTTCAAAAGATTAGTTTTAATTAATTACTCCATCTATTATTCCAGCTTGGTTGGAGAAGGCTGCGTAGTGGAGTTAATTTAAGAGTTTCAAGTCTTCACCTCTAAAGTGTTTATTACATTAAATTTAACAACATTTATTTCGTGAAAATCGAAAGTTTAATGAGGCTAAATTTTATCTTCGGCTTTAGCTTATCTTATAGGAGTTAAAAGTGTTAGTTTCAGATATTAATTTTAAATCAAAAGAGTAACCTCATCTTTACTTCAGCTCACAAGTTTTCCTATAAATACGACTAGTATTTTGCATTTTAAAACCATCCCTTGAACAAGTTTCTCTCAAGTCTTATTCTTCTTCTTTCAATCCCACTTAAATATTGGATCTATATACTTGTTAGCTCTTATGCCCTCTAAATTTAAAAAAAGAAGGCTTGTTTTATCTTGGGGGAACATTTCGTTACATCGAAATAGTTTCTTTAGGACGGTGCAATTTGCATGACTCAAGTATTATATTTGTTCATTAATTTAGCATTTTTGCAACATTACCCCAACAATCTAAAGAAACTATGACTTCCAACAATGCTATCCCAACTGATGATGTTACTATTGGTGTTAACGCTTCTCAAGCATCTCAAACCCCATTACTGTCGATGCCACTTTCAACTACCATTCCAAATGGTACTACCATTTGCCAAACACTTTCCTGATGGCTCAACACTATGTTGAGAGACTTCTTAAGAAATTTAATTATTTTGAGGTGACACCGGTGAGTACTCCATATGACTCTAGCATTCACTTGAAAAAGAATCGCGGTGACCCAATTAGTCAGTCTAGGTATGCTCATATTATTGGGAGTTTGATGCACTTGATGAATTTCTCGAGACCTGACATAGCTTATGTTGTGTGTAGGCTGAGTAGATACACCCATAATCCCAACCGTGAATATTGGTTTGCAATAGAGAGACTGATGAAATATTTGAGAGGAACCATTAATTATGGTATCCTATATAATGGATTTCCCGCTGTCCTTGAGGGTTACATCGATGCTAATTGGATCTCTTATTCAAATAAGACAAAATCTACTAGTGGTTATGTATTCACCCTTGGTAGTGGTGCAATAACATGGAGATCAGCCAAGCAAACTTTAATTGCTAAGTCCACTATGGAGCCAGAGTTTATAGCTCTGGAGATGGCTAGTTCTGAGCCGGAGTGGTTAAGAAATTTCTTAACCGATATGCCTTTGAGAAAGAACACATTGCCTCCTGTGCTTGTGTACTGTTATTGTCAATCAATAATTTACAATGCCAAGAATAAATCATACAACCCGAAAAGACGTCATTTAAAATCGAGACACAATATTGTGAGACAATTACTCAGAGATAGAATTATTTCCATAGAGTATGTGAAGTCAGAAGTGAATTTGACCGATCCACTGACTAAACCTGTTGGAAGAAAAATAGTTCTTCAAACCTCATATGAGATGCGACTTAGACCAACTTGAAGTCAATAAAGATAATAACCCAACCTATGTGATTGGAGACCCCATGAATTAGGTTCAATGGGTAATAACAAGTCAATATTGGCTCTGCTGCACTTTTATGTGATGAGTGCTTTAACTGGTACTAAATTGGAGAGATGAGTTTTAAACTCTTAATGAATTTATATTCCTTACGGATGGTGTATTTAAAACAGTACACTTGATGAATCACCTATATGAGAGTGGAGTGGAGTCGCTCTTATAGGGTTTTATTGGTCGAACCCTTGGAGCTCTCATGAACTACCAAGCACGTGCACGGCCGAAATAATGTGCATAAAACGCGTTGACAACAAGTTGCGGGTTGCAATGTGGTTGGTAAAACTTCTCTCTTACAACAAAGAATGTCATGATTCAAGAAATTTATTTTACTAGTGATTCTGGCTTCCATGTTCTATCGATCTAGGTTTGGTTCAAGTTCAAAAGATACCAAACTGATGCAGTGTTACCTTATAGATCCAATATTTGTTTTACTAAAAAAGAAATATGTGGGGTATTGTTAGCGTTTTTGTTAATTTATTTCAAAATATTAGTTTTAATTAATTACTCCATCTATTATTCCAGCTTGGTTGGAGAAGGCTGCGTAGTGGAGTTAATTTTAAGAGTTTCAAGTCTTCACCTCTAAAGTGTTTATTACATTAAATTTAACTACATTTATTTTGTGAAAACCGAAAGTTTAATGAGGCTAAATTTTATCTTCGGCTTTAGATTATCTTAGGAGTTAAAAGTGTTAGTTTCAGATATTAATTTTAAACCAAAAGAGTAACTTCATCTTTACTGCAGCTCACAAGTTTTCCTATAAATACTAATAGTATTTTGCATTTTAAAACCATCCCTTGAACAAGTTTCTCTCAAGTCTTTTTCTTCTTCTTTCAATCCCATTTAAATATTAGATCTATAAACTTGTTAGTTTTTGTGCCTCTAAACTTACGAAAGCAAGGCTTGTTTTATCTTGGGGTAACATTTCATTACACCGAAATAATTTCTTTAATACAGGGCAATTTGCATGATTCAAGTATTATATTTGTTTATTGATTTAGAATTTTTGGAGCATTACCCCAACCAGACCTACTCCTGAATAATAACAGTGTCACTGGAACAATCCCTCGGTGCATTTGGAATATGTCATCGCTTCATCATTTATATATATCTCGGGGATAACAACTTAACAGGTTCTTCTTTATTTTTCTTCTTTTGGTGTGGGTCGGGGGGTTGGTTTCTGCATTCCTGGTTGACCTTCTTGTGAAAAAGTTTGTATTAATGGTCTTGGCATGGGCAGGGACGTCAGATATGAGTTCGGGAAATTCATCCCTCTTGGACGAGATTGTTTTACGAGGAAATGAATTATACGGCAGCTTGCCTGATGATTTGTGTTTCAGTCATCCAAATTTGCCGCAGTTAAATCTCCAATCTAACAAACTCTCTGGCCAAATCCCTTTTAGTCTTTCACACTGCAGCGCGCTCTACTTGATAAACCTGTGCGCTAATAATTTCACAGGTATATATGTTTATTCTGACATCCAACTCTGAAACATGTACTACTCTACAAGAACAACAAAGAATGTTGAAATCAACTTTCTCTAGTTATAAATAATTTGATGATCACGCAGGAGGCATACCACCTGAGATCGGAAACCTTTCCACGCTTCAGTATCTGTTTCTTTCAAACAATAGCCTGACGGGAGAACGACCTCTTGCTTCTGCAAATCTCTCTGCATTAAAGTTTCTTGCTGTTTATAAAAATGGGTTGTCCGGATCTTTACCCCAAGATTTGTGTTATAGATATCCAAATCAGAAGCTGTTAAACGTTGGGAACAACCAATTTCATGGGTCAATCCATACAAGCATATCACGTTGTAGTGCCTTGAACACCATTGAGTTAGGTTACAACAAGTTCACAGGTAGGTATATATATACACCTCTTCGATCTTTCTTTCTGTAATGATTTAACAAAAGAAGAAGCCAGATGTTTATTAGACATTTGGAAGGATTTCAGGTAGTGCTCCAGATAATATTGGAAGGAACATGACCAAGCTTCGACATTTGGTTCTTGGACGCAATGATTTCACGGGCAACATTCCTCGGTCCATTGGGAATATGTCAAGCTTGTTGATACTGACGCTGACAAGGAATCCATTCTCTGCGAGGAATCCAGCAGAGCTGGCACAGATCCCGCAATTGGAAGTAATATAAGGTAAACCTTTAATAATTCGTTAATTAGAGAATTATTAAATTTATAACCAATAAATTAATAAATTATTAATTAAAAAAATTATTTAAAAAAAAAACTCTACTACGCTACATTAACTTTCATCATCTTAACATTCCGAATCAAGCCGCAGGAACTTAAATTCTTCTCAATAATCAATCTGTAGACGTAATTTATAGCATCTCAAGGGACCGAAAAATAAGCATAGAAAGTTCATATTTAACTATAGTTGTTATTTTCTTTTCATTTAGGAGCTACTAATATATGATATTTTTGGAACCAACAATATAGAAGAAGTTTTCTTAAACACTATTATCTTATTATTTTATAAATTTTATTTATTTCTTGTAGCGGTTCACCATTGGGTGACAAGCAGTCATTACACTATTCAACTATAAGTTACCTACTTAATACACATACTATTAGTAAAGCATAAAATAATGATCATTCCATTGGTTGATATCTTAAACTATGTGAATAATGATCATTCACATGAATAAAAACAATAATACTAAATATTAACTAATGAAAAAATTATAATATCATATTAAATTAAACAAATCGAGTAGTACGTTGGCTATATCTAAAACCCTAAATTAAAGGAGTTTAGCCATTACACACATTTCAAATAAAATAAATAAAATTAAAACAAAAAGAAAATAAATAAAATTAAAACAAAAGAACCAATCCACCAAAGTCCAGCCGTGAACGAAACCAAAACTTGAGTGGAAGAAGTTGGTCCGGTGCTGACTTGTGCGTGTATCTTTGTGGCTGCGTGAGTGTTGTTCTCCTTTTGATGATATGTTCGGGTGAGTGGGGTGGTGATGGTGCAGGGTTTAGTACATGGAGAGGATTCAAAGAAAACAACTATAGCTTTTTCTTTCTTTTTTTTTTTTTTTCCAGGCGAAGTGTCTTGCTCAGAAAGAGAGGAGGGGTTCCCCGCCCCAGTTGATGAACGTAATCAATTCTACCTTATTTTTTTTCAATTAGTCAATATTACTTTAAGTTATCCAATCGTTAGCCGATTTTGTCCAATTTGTCTTTTTTCCGTTTCAATGAACAGAATTCGGTTTATTTTAATTACAAAAATACCCTGATAATTTTTAAAATTATAAAAATGATTCTAAAAATTTACAAAAGTAACAAAACGATCTCTTTTCAGTTTTTATTTAATTTTTTCTGTTTTTAATTTCTTTTTACTATTTTCATAACTATAAAAATATACAATATGATCTTTTAAAAAAATTATTTATTTTTAAACTCTAACGTACAAATTTATAATTACATATTTGTAAGTCATGTTTGATTTACATAAAAATATTGATTGGTTTAATGGTAATGATATTCTTTTTTTAATCCATTTTTTTCAATCTAAAGAATAAGATTATTTAACTAAAAATAATTTTGCACAAAAAATAACACATTTAGCATAGATTAAAAATGAAGTTATTGGTATACTTTAATGTATTATAATTTAATTCAACGGACTTTAGATTTTATTATATTACAAAAATAATTAAAACTAAAATATAAATTTTTCTATAAAAGGCCAAGTACGAAAAGAAAGTAAAAAAAAAAACAATTATTTCGTTTCTACATTAGCCCAGCACAAGAATATAGTGTTGTGTCATTTACAAAAATGGTACAAAATATTTTATAAAAAACATGTATGTTTATCATTACGAGGGTTTAACATTTTGCAATAATTTTTTGAGATATTAATAGATCTAAATTTTTTAGCATAAAGTATTTTTTTAAAGAAAAAATAATATAAAGAAATATATATTCCAGTACTGGACTCCACCTTTTTCTTAAAAAAAGAAAAACTAGATTGCCTCAGTGAGAATCGAGGCCTCGAACACAGTAATTTCATCTCACATCTTAAATCACCTGACCATCTAACTCAACCCTCTCACCTTTAGTGTACCCCACTTAAATATAGATAAAATCACTCTCTCGGTTAGAATTCTTTAGTGAGACTTAATCTTATATCTACTCTCATTAAACGAAAAAATTGGCCGATTATTTTTTAATCTATGTTAAATGTTTTAATTTTTTGTAAAAAATTAGTTTTAGTCAAAAAATATTATTCTTTAAATTAAAAAATATGGATTAAAAAACTAATATCATTACTTTCTAGCTATATTATTAAAAAATTAATATTTTTATGTAAATCAACCATGAATTACATATATGTATATCTATAAATTTGTGCAGTAGTGTTTAAAAATAAAATGTTATTTTAAAAGATCATATAATATATTTTTATAGTTATGAAAAACTGTAAAAAGAAATAGATCACAGAAAAAAAAACTAAATAAAAAGTGAAAAGAGACTGTTTTTTTATTTATATAAAAATTTAGGGTCATTTTTATAATTTTTAAAACTATTAAGGCATTTTTATAATTAAAACTAACAGAAAATCTATTAATTTAAACGGAAATTAGCAAATTGGACAAAATTCGCTAACGGCTGAATAGCTTAAGATAATATTGGCTAATCAAAAAAGAATATGGTAGAATTAATAACGCATGAAAAGATCGACCAATTTTTCTACGTAATCAACGTGAACCATCATCGGTTATTTGAATTAAGCCTATGCACATTGATCACTTTCTCTCCAATGGATCAAAATGGCATTGTTTGCATCTCAAGCCCTCAATCCCGTTAGCTTCTCAACTTTCTTCGACTTCAATTCTTCAAATTTTTAATGAAGTCCAAACCTCCAACAATTTATGCATTAAAAGAATTTATTTCCTGCACATTATTATTAATTTAATTAAGTATCAAATTCAATTCGAAGATACAAACTCATATTAAAAATACTACGAATAAGAGCATAAAAGTATATCTAATTTGATGCTTATCATTGAATATAAAAAATTATTATTCTATTGAAATTATTAATAAATTATTAATTTACGAAAGTTTAATAGTTCAGCCTAACTTGCATTACGCCACATAATCATTGTATCACCAATCACATCATATTTACTCAATTAGAAAACTTGTCGTTACTCAAGTCAAATAACCACATAATTAGCTTTTCGTACGCGGTATACATTGAATATAATCTCATTTGTGCGACGAACGTACTTCTTTGTATTATCTCCGGTAAGTTTAGGAACGATAAGTTCTGAAATGTAAAATATTAAGTCCTATTCTAATTTTCTTTTAGAGAAAAGAAATAAAGGTTAATCTAAATCTGTGTTTGATAACTTGGAGCAGGTAGATTAAGACGCCTGCTCTATTTCCAAGAGCTCACGAGTTCGAGTCACGCCGGGGGGTAAGAGGGGGACTACTATCAATCCCTATATAAAAATAAATAAATAAATAAACTCCCTATCCTTTCATGGTAAGAAGGCGGGCAAGAATTATTTTCCTTGGGGTTGAGTTTTTTGCTGGCGAAAACTTGTTTACACATACATTGATGATTTTTTTTTTTTTTTACTATAAAGGAGGCAAATGCCTATAACTCTAGATTATTACAGTGCGTTAGTAAAACACACTAACCAAATCATGTTGAACCTAAAGTTTTATACTATCTGGCAGCTCATCTAACCATTGTAATTCACCAGGCTTAACTATAGCTAAAGCCGCTAACGAGTCCGCCGCGAAATTCAATTCCCAATATATATGCGTAAGCTCCACCACCCATTCTCTCTTCAGATATATTCCAGTTATTTGATTTAAACAATTTAGTAGTAGTATTCAATTTGATTTTTATTTTAGGACAAAATGCACTGTTGGTCCCTAAACTTTGGAAGGTCAAGATTTTGAGTCACCATTAATTTTTCATTGACGAAATTGGTCACGTGTTTTTGTTTATTCACCAACTTTTGTCAATTTAATGGAATTTATAGTCAACTAACGGTCAACTCTTTTCTACCTTTAAGTTCTTTATTTTTTTTATTAATTTTTCGCTGAACTAGGGCCTGTCATATATTTTCAAACAACAAAATCAGTCCCCTAATATCTTTTTTTCAATAATTTTAGTCACTTTACCGGAATTTTCAAAAACTTAATGGCCTAATTCATTTTTCGTCAAATCTTTATTTTTTATTGATTTCTTAATGGAATGTATCTTTTCTTTAATTTGTTTTGTTTTTTAAAAAAAGAATTCAGGTCAAAGACATGTAACTCAATCCATTATAAAATTAATAAAAAAATAAAATTTAATAGAAAAATGAATTGGGCCATTAAATTTTTGAAAATTTCGTTAAAATAGCTAAACTTGTAGAAAAAAAGATTTTAAGGGATTGATTTAATTGTTTGAAAATTCATTACGGGCTCCAGTTCAGTAAAAAAATTCATAAAAACTTAAAAAGAAAAAGAGTTAATCGTTAATTGATTATAACTTCCGTTAAATTGACTAAAATTGGTAAATAAATGAAAAGACGGTGACCAACGTCGTCAGTCAAAAATTAATGATAACTTGAAATTGTATCCCTTAAAGTTTATGGACCAAAAGTCGGTTTTGTCCTTTATTTTAATGCAAACATTAAAAATCGGTGTTGAGAAATAACCTTCCCACGTTACCATTTGCAGATATAAATGCGATCACCAATGGGCTATTTTGTAGTACTATGTTATGTTGTGTGGGTCAAACAATCAATCCTCGTCGAGGAACGTACCTAGCTACTACAATACACACAGCTAACATCTGACAACAATAGCGATTTGCATTAAATAAACAAAACAAAGTACTATGATCGATGATAATTATAATAATAAAGAAGAACTTTAACCAAAAAGAAAACAATCCCCACAGAAATTAAATTGTGGGACATGGAAAAGTTGGAAAACAAGAAAGAAGCCATTCTTCTGCTGCTTGCTGTTTCAGGCTTCATTTCTGTAACAAAATGCATCCTCAAATTCATCACCTGGACATGGAAAATGTTCATAAGGCCACCAAAGAATCTACTCCAATACGGTTCATGGGCTGTGATCACTGGTCCAACAGATGGAATTGGCAAAGCGCTCGCATTTGAATTGGCATCCAAAGGTCTGAATCTAGTCCTGATTGGAAGAAACACTTCGAAGCTTGATGCCACAGAACACGAAATCAGAAATCTACATCACCACAAAGTTGAAATCAAGAAGGTCGTTTTCGATTTCGCCAAGTGTTGTTATGGCATCGGAGAAAATCAGGTTGATGATGAAATTGAGGATGCAATAAGAGGGTTGGACGTGGGGATATTGATTAATAATGCGGGTTTGGCATATCCATATGCGAGGTATTTTCATGAAGTGGATGTTGAATTAATGGAGAGTATAATCAAAGTGAATATTGAAGGAGTGATTAGAGTTACAAAAGCAGTGATTCCAATAATGTTGAAGAAGAAAAAAGGTTCGATTGTGAATATTGGATCTGCTTCTTCTGGTGTTGTTCCTTCCTATCCTCTCTACTCCATTTATGCTGCTACCAAAGCGTAAGTTTTTTCCTCCCTTTCTTCTTTTGCCTCTTTGAATGAATTAAACTTGACAAAAATTTTGCCAAAAAATTGTTGGAATGTCAATCAATGTATACGAAATAATTTGATTTTTGCAATTCTTTTTCTTTTAACAGTCGACGCTCTCAAGGGTTCATTCGTTCTGGAGATGATTTTATTTTTTTCTTTTCTTTTTTTTTTTTTTGTTTACATTTATACAGTGGATTCAATCAGCGGGGAAAATTAGTTTTGTGTTATTTAATTCTTTTTTATTATCATTTTCTTCTTTCTTTCTTTTCTTTTATCTTTTTTCGGGGCACAGATACGTCGCAATGTTCTCAAGAAGCATGAGTTTAGAGTACAAGCGAGATGGGATTGATATCCAATGCCAGGTTAGTTCTTAACTACTTGTTGGATTTTATCTAAAGTTAATCCCTTAAAGACAAAACTAAATGCTGTACTGTGAAAGTAAAAATCAGTAGTTACCAGCGTGTGATTCTAGTTTGGTGGTAAGATCCAACTCAAAGTCAAACTTTTTTAGAAACGAATAAAAAAGTTATTATCTAGTTTTGAACAAGAAAAACTTATTGTCTCTTTGGTAAAATGAAAAATTTTAAGTTTCACGATTATAACATCTCTTCAAATTCTCTTCATTCTTAATTATAGGTTTCAAATTAAGACTAAAATTAATTTAAATTTGTGTTTTATAATTATAATATGAGGACCAAATATTAGTGGACTTATTTTGACTATTTTATTGTTAGCGACAATTGCAAGGTACGTATAAATGTATTTTTGGCTACATTTGTTTAAAAAACTTTATTGACACCTCCAAAGAAGGGGGAGGGGCGTAATATAGTTATTTGGAATATTTTATTACTAGTGATAATTGTAAGATGTGTATTTGTCAGGGCGCCGATTTGATTATTTTTGACTGGTCATGCACAACGTGAGGTGGCTTTGGAATCTTTTCTATTATATATTTTTTTCTCCCATCTTTTATATTTTTGAGGTACTTTTTTGCATCTTCAATAGGAAAAACAAACACTTAAAACCTCCTTGCCTCATCATAAGATCAATGAACTTGTTAAATATTGTCCTTCACAAAAATATTGGTATGACAAATGAACTATATTTCATTTGATAACCGTGGAGACTAAACCAAGTAGTAAATTCAAACCTGAAAAAGAAAAGTTATTGAAGGCTTAAGCCATCTATAAATTCATTCTTAGGGTGGTTTTTTTTTACATATTACACATTCGGTGTTAGAGTCATTTTCCAATCCAATCTGAATTGAGTCCCCAGCTCCCTCGTAGTAGTAACTAAAGTGTAGCTCTGTCTTGAGTAAAAAAAAAATTTTAATTTATGTTTTATAATTATGATCTGAGGAGTAAATATTAGTGGACTTATTTTGACTATTTTATTGTTACTGATAATGGCAAGGTACGTATAAATGTATTTTTCTCTTGTTTAAAAATCTTTAGTGATACCTCAAAAAAGGAGGGGGAAGTAATGTAGTTATTTGGAATATTTTATTATTAGTGATAGTTGTAAGATGTGTATTTGTCAGGGTGCTTGTTTGATTATTTGAGTGGTCATAACGTGAGGTGGCTTTGGAATCTTTTCTACTATATATTTTTATTCTTTCATTTCTTATATTTTCAATGTACTTTTTTATATTTTCAATTAAAAAAATAGATACTCAAAAATATTTAAAACATAACCAGCTTGCCTCATCATAAGATCAATGAACTTGCTTAAATATTGTCCTTGACAATAATATAGGTGTGACAATGAACTGAATACCGTTTCTGATTGATAACCGTGGAGACTAAACCTAGTAGTAAATTTAAAACCAAAAAAAGAAAAAAAAAACTTACGAAAGGCTAAAGCCATCTACAGATTCATTCTTATGGTGTTTTCTTTTTATATGTTATTACACATTCAGTGTTGGAGTCATTGTCCGATCCAATCTGAATCGAATCCCATAGCTCCCTCTTAGTATTGACTAAAGTAGCTCAGTCTTGAGTCTGAAAATATTTCCAATAATTCCTAGTTCTACAGATTACATTGTGATTTTATATTGACTAAAATAATTTTAAAAAAAAAATGAAAACATCAATGTTAATATTCTATATAGATTAGTTTGGTGTGTGGTGCAATTTCAGATTCCGGGACTGGTGGCAACAAAGATGGCAAGAATAAAGAAGCCTTCGTTGTTTGTTCCATCGGCAGAAAATTACAGTAAAGCAAGTACAAGATGGATTGGTTATGAGCAGATATGTGTTCCCTATTGGACTCATCATCTCCAGAAATTCGTGGTTTCAATTCTTCCGGAGGCTTTGGTGGATTGTTGTTTATTGAAGTACTTTCAGGGAATGCGTTTGAGAGGATTCAAACGCGATTCAACCGCCGCATGATTTATTGTAACGCCATGCGTCCATATGAAAATTTACTTTTTGTTTTGTTAATTTATTTGGTCGAACCGAAGATTGTGAAGGATCACATGTGAATGACTTGTCGGATTTGTTTTCTATTTGCAAAAGTAGCACGTTTTGTTTCTTCTGTTGATCACAATTCTGAGTTTACAAGGATCGCATTTGACTAACTTGTCTGATTTGGTTTCCATTACAAAAAAAATGTTCTCGTGTATCATTTTTTTTTTTCTCTGTGGATCACAATTTTTACATTCACAAATCAGATCCATACAGCCTGCCTGTTGATTTGTGCTTCAGTCTTCCAAACGTGGAGTGCTTTGAACTTGAAGTCCAATTTAGTTTTCTTTCCGGCAAAATCCGTCTAGCCTTTCACATTGAAGTGCACTTAACGTCATCCACCAGGGCTAAAATAAAAGCTGGGGGTAATTTTATTCTGGCATCCAATTCCTCACCCTACCCTAGAATTGAAATAACTTTCTCTAGCTATGAAAATTTGATCATGCAGGAGACTTAACATGGTTGGGAACATGTCGCTCCGATTTTTTTTTCTCTCAAACAATAGCCTGACAGGAGAAATCTGAGTTAGCGCGCCACCTGAGGTTGGAACTTAGGAAGCATTTCCGCAGTTCTCTCTCTCTCTCTCTCTCTCTCTCTCTCTTTCTCACACACACACACACACACAATAGCCTCCTAAGAGGAGAACTACCCCTTGCTTGTTCAAATTTCTCGGCATTAAAAGAGCTCGGAAGTTATGGATAACAGATTCACCAATAGCTAACCCGGACATTTGTGCTTCACATCCCCAAATCTATATAGGTCTTAGCCCTTGAGAAAAGAACAGTTTTCATGGCTCAGCCTACTAGCTTATCATATCATTGTGTCATGGTAACCACTGATAGTTTTTGTATAATTTATTCATTTTACTAATCTCTCTTTTGACCAGTTCACAGGTATGTCTTTCAATCCTTTCTGAGTTTTGGATGAATTTCATAGTAAACTACTAAGTGCTATACAGCATGACCATGCTTCGGAATTTATCAGTTCCTGGACGCAATAATTTCACCAGCAACAGTGCCCCATCCATGGGACGTGTCAGTGCTAGTGAGAAGCTGTCTAGAAATCAATTCTCTGGGTGTTCCTGAGTAGCTTGAATACCTTTCGAATTTGGAAGGAATATTCCTCGGGGGAAACCAGCTTTCCGGTGAAAATGCGGCGGAGTACTGTAGATCATTGAGTACTGAAAGATTTCATGTGCAATCAAACAATATAACTTTCAGAATTCCTCCAACTTCTGGCAACTCGACACTAAGGGGACTGGGAGTCGTCAATTTCCAATTCGCAGGCAATGTTCCCCCAAATCCCTTGATCTTGACTTGAGAAACCAAATCAGCCTAATGTACTCTGTGGTCTGTGCACACATCGAGGAAGAGGATAAAGCAGAATCTGGCTGCGGACTTGGAAGAGTGATGAGACCAGAGTGAATAGACCCATCTTGTTCCACATCGAAACAAGCCGTTTCACCAACGTTTTGAAATCGAATAGTGAAAAACAACCTAACTACGACACAGCTTAGAGTAACTCATGTTGACTCGAGTAACAAAGACTCCAATTCTATTATCCAGCATAAGATCTCTACTATCAGTATCACGGAGATTAAAAGTTTAAAACACACTGCAAATCCCTACAGAGATGATCGCTCAGAAATCCTAAGATGAAAGCATACACATAAACATTCAAAAACCCTACTCCAAAGTAAAACATTTCATCATCTTTCAGTAAAACGGTCTTCATCTGGAGCGCCAAAGTCGAGCCATCGTGATCGTGGACGCCTGAAGTTAGCGTCATGAGGCCTTGAGCTGTCAATAGAAAGTCTCAGCTGGGATACCAAGTTGCTGATGAGACCCGGATCAATGGGAATATTTTTATCAACGGCCCCAAATACATTCTGTGTGAGGATGTAATCAAACTGGTGAGCAAACTTCCTTGATCCCAGATAAGCCATTGTTGAACAGTTGTCTTCTGTAACTACAAAACCACGAGCATCTATAAAAGGATTCAAAGAATCTACAGCGTCTGTTGCACTCCCATTAATGATCCCTAAATAAGAATGACCTTTACTCCTCAGAATCTCAACCTGGTTACAAGATGAAAGGAATGTCAGTCAAACTCATTTAAAGATACTTAACACGCCAGCTGAATTAGAGATGGCTAGGATTGGCTTAGAGCTCACTCTAAGAGATCCAGAACTATCAAAGCTCATAAGCGAATTCTTGTTTAAACCTATTTATTACATAAGGTTCACATTCGTAGACTTTTCTAATGAACACTGAAGTGTGAGTTACCTAAAGCGGGCATATATCATTTCCATGCTTGTTACCCTAAACACTGTCTTTGGAATTTAATGAAGACAGTTGGGAGCGTTTTTCCCTCTAGGGAAGGCAAAAATGTGTACTCAAAAGGTAAATATATTAACAGAAAATTATGAAAGAAGTGAAAAGAATAACCTGGTGGGAAAATGATCCAAACAAGGAATCATAGGTCAATTTAAAAAGTACACGTAAGTTGGCATGGTAATATATAGAGTCAAGTTGACATTAAGAAGAAAATAGATTGCTATTTGATTTATAAATGGGACAGGTAACTGAACTTGTATGGAGATTATATATAGATAACAGACAATAGAATTACTCACTTGTGCCATCATACATGCCACGAACACACCAGAAGTTAAAGGGTGCAAAGGACCTGAATCACCAGCAGGCTTTACAGCGCAAAAACTCTCACCTACTTTCCACATCCTTATTAGGTCAGTTTGACACACTGGGAATGCATAGAGACTGTCCTTTTCCTGCTTATAAATCGTGAAAAGGCTAACGTGTGAATTAACTAAAGTTTAACTGGGGCTCTGAATCCATCTCCCGCCCCCACAAAGACAGGAAAAAGAACAGAAAAATGAATTACAACCAAAAAAGAAAAGAAAAAGAGAGAGGGGGAAGAAGAGAACATACATGAAAGAGACGTCCAGCCAAAACGACAATTTTACTTCTAGTGGCCACATCCCCATAGCACTTGTTTAACATATCCCTGAAAGGATAATAAGCAGCACTATAGGCAGTCTCAAAATCTTTCTTATCTTGTCCGGTAAATGAATTGTAAACTTCCAGAATTCCCTGGTAACATTTCAGTAAACATTAAAATTTCAAGTGATTTACATAAAAAAAAATTATAACCATAAAAGAAAGGTGCGGCTCAATTATGCCAAGCAAAAGGAAGTTGTGAAGTTTGATACAAACCTTAGCTGATATTGTTTTGGAAACAATCCGTGTCATGCACTCCACAGTATTTTTATATGCAAGATCTTCTTCCATTTCCCTATTAGTGTACCTTCTGAACAATGCCACAGCAAGTCCATGCACAGCACCATGTAAAATGCCTGCATTTAAACAATTTAATACCAGAATCTACTGTCCTCCAATTAAATTATCAGAGATCAGCTGGATTGTTCTGACCTTGCTCTCCAAAAATCTCACTCTCGTATTCCTGTTCCAGTGTAGTGGCATAGATAAACGGAGAGCCAAGGGCAACAGACCATCCCAAGGCAACATCTGTAGCTCTGCCATCAATATCCTGTATACATAATTTTTAAGACATTAACATTTAACAGTCGAAGAAACAAAAAGCCAACTCATGTAGCTTCCAAACAGACAGCCAGAGCAAAATATAAAGACCTGATGAACAGCAAAACTGGCATTGATTCCAGCACCATCAATTTCCTTCCCTTGCACGTATGACCTCCGTACCGAAGGACCCATCCCCTTTGGACATACCGCTACTACACTAATATTCTTTGGGAAGTCATGACCCATCGACTGCAAAAGTCTGAGAAGGAAACCACGAGAAAGGCCCAGAATGCTATTTGGCTTCATGTGGGAAAACACTTTTTCATAGTTATCTGCCTGCATTTGAAACAAAATCTGGTCAGTTAGCACATCTGTTTTCAATGTTTGTGGATGGACAGGTATACACTTCAATACAGATAGAAAAACATAAAGGAACAATAAGTATTTCATAAACTGTTATTGTCAGTGATTTCAAAAACAGCAGTCAATGTTTTTTCAACAATTAAGAAACACAAGAAAGCACCATTCCTTTGTTTCATAACATGGTCATTTAATAATCGCCCTCTGGAGACTAGAAAGCTTTATGGCATTAAAATTTCTTGTGAGGAACAACTAAAAAGAAGCATAAGAGCCGCTCAGCTAATTAAAACACATTTTTTGTGTGTCATCACTAAATACATAACTGAAGCATGACATTTCCATGAGAAAGCTAGAAGCTCAAAGTCTTAAATAAATAAGTGAATCCAAACTCCCCCACGCCTATCCCCTCACCCCCACCCCCCCACCCCCACCGCCCGACATCAAAAAACAAAGGAAAGAAAAAGAATGCAACACCACATATCCTTTACACCTTACATGTTCAAATGGCCTTTTTTATATTGGTAACGGCTCCAGTAGAACATGAACGAACAATGCCAGATGAACTCAATTTATTGTGGTGAAAAAAATCAATGCATTTCTTAATGCAGGTGGATGGCAGCACATAGAGACTGCATCACCAGGAAAGCTGGATAGACTAACCTGAGCTTCATCAGAAATCAAGAGCAGCACCAAATCGCTACCAGAAATAGTCTCCCATATGTCTCCAAGTGTACCATTCTCTTCGCTAAATCCAATTTCACGAGCCTCAGCAAATGAGCATGAACCTTTTCTTAACCCAATCTGCGAAGAGTTATAATGGAAACTGTTTTGCTTTAGCTAGAAGAACATGACTTCTTTAACATAGCCCAATCACAGAAGCGGTAAAAACAGAGAGATGAAGAAGAAAGACCAAAATGACCTTGACAACGATATCAGACTTTGCTTCTGCAAGTGAGTCTCTTAAATTCTGAGCTTGGGCAGGTCCCTACAGAGAAGCAAAGTATGTCATTGTTCACATAAGTTGAAAAAAAAAAAAAACGAGAAAAACGTTCTCAGCAAAATATCCTTAATGATATCACACTGTTTCATATTTTGGAAAACTATTTAAATTTACGCCATAACAGTATTCAGTCTGCAAAGTCCAGAATCTCTTACTAGATTATCATCAGGAAGACTACCCCCAACATTTACAAAACTAAGTCCTGTCGCATTGAAGATGCTATAACAACTGTTAGGCGCAGGATGGAAGAAGTATCCAGGAGTCAACTACTATTACGCTGGACACTTCAATCAAACCAGCAGGTTGAATGACTACAAATTAATGGATGCCCGGGGACACTCTTGGATTGAATGCAAATATGATGGTGGTGTTTGTGGCAGTAATGTTGCGAGCATATGTGGAAATTAATTTGAGGGGATAAAAAGGACAGTGACTTGCAGAGATTAATCAGGATTTGGGGATAACATCAACGGAGAAACAGGCAGCGATTAGCAAGACATCAAATCAGACATCATAAGGAGATCATCAAAGGACTCACAGGCAGTGATTGACCTTGATTCAACCACCAACCTAGACTAGGAACTTAGACCAATATGCAAGAGCTCCTAGTTCTGGATTAAAGGTTGTTAAGTTTTCTCACACATTTACAGAAAACTCGAGCGGATCTTGCAAAGACGGTGTTAGAGCAAAATAGGGATTGGTATTCCTTAAGCAAATCCATGGTTTTGTTAGCCTGCTAGGCAAGCAGGAAGTAGTAACTACATAAACTTGTTACAGATATACCAAGGCTTGTTGTTTTTAGTAAAAACTCAAAAAAAAAAGAGTGTCTATTTTCTTAAACCCTGAAAAATGAATCATCAAATGTAAGCACTGATGTTTGAATTATGTTCAAACAGAAGTTCTAGCTAGTAGGTCTCTCCACAAATAAACAAGATGATTAATGACACAAACCGCATGCATATATCCTACAAAACAATAAACTTTGAGTCCCCACAGTAACTTAGTAGCAATGTAACCTCCCACATTTTTAAAGAATGAAGACAACACCCAAAGAAACCCAGACACAAAACTTTACAGGACCAGCAAGTAGGAAACGGACTTTTAAAAGCAAATGATATAACTAACAAACAAACCTGAGAACCCCATCCAATGACGCCGATCTGCTTGATTCCCTTGAATGCATCAGGCAAGAGCTTGAACAAGTCCCTCCCGCCTTTCACAATATACTGCGATTCGTTCAATCGCACATAATCAATTACCAACAACCAACAATAAACCGCAAGGAAAAAGCGAAAGAATTTAGCTATCATTCTTCATATACCTCTTCGTGACCAGCCAGGTCAATCTTCTCTTTCTTAAACACTGACGTCTCAAAGTCGAGGGGAGTTTGCGACTCGGCAGCGGCTGGGACTGACAGCGTGCTAGCAAATGGAACTTCGCCGTCGCCATTTGCCGCGGTAGAAGCTGAAGCGGCGGGGCGAGCGGCAACTTTAAGAGACTCGAGCGTCGGAAAAAAAGGAAAACTGTGGTGGTTTTTGGGAAGTGTGGCTTGGGCTTCGGAGTTGTTGGACGCAAAAGAGGAAATATTGTACGAACTAATAGCGCCCGCAACGATGGTGGCAGCCGGGAACATGGTAACGTGCGAGGGTGTTGGAAAACTGAAACGTGTCAGTGCGTCCGGCCAAAGCGGCTGTTTCTAGATTTCTTTGTATGCGAGAAGGGGGTAGGGTTTTGCTACTTTCCAATCTCGCTGCTACTATAAAGGCAAACAGGAATCTCACCACCCAATCTTCCTCTTTTTTTTTCTTTTTTTTTTTCTCTTTTTGTCATTCCCCATTTTTCTTCAAAATATTATTATATTCCTTTCTATACGCATCTACTGAATATTTTTATATAAGGAAAATGATACTCTTAGGCCCTGTTTGGTTCACAGATAGTTTAGGAGAAAGTAATATAATTCCGGGAATCTGAAAATTACCATGGTTGGAAGTAGTTTGTAACGCATTTGGAAAATAATTTGATTCCCCGAATCAAGGAAAATAGTTGCAATTTTCCAGGAAAGAGAATCCTTATCTAGAGTTGTTATTCTGTTTACTCTCCGACGGAATTTAATAAAAAAAGACGCGATTTTATTTGATCCGATCCTAACCCTTTTTATAATCTCCTCTTGCCCAATTTTTATCATCCCCGTGTCTGTTGCTCTGCTACTGCAACAAGGACTTCATCTCCTTCGCTCTCTTTTTTTTCTTCCCAACAAAATCTCATTCGACCTCTTTTTATTCTTCCCATCAAAATCTCTTCCATATTGCTATCTTCTTGAGTTCCTGGTAAGATTATTTTCTCCTTTTTATCAATTCAATCAATAGATTGTCCTCTTAATTGGTATAAACACTAATTGTATTGTTTTCTTCTTTTTTTTTCCAACTTTCTTTGGCCGTGGTTACAGTGAGGAATCTTTCGGTGGTGATTCTTTGTTTATTATTTTATCAATTCGAGAGGTTAGTTCATGAGTTTGATTTATTATTCATCTTGCTATTGCTAGTAATGATTGCCTTGTCCTTTTTTCTATTCCACTCATATCTTTGCACATTATCAACTATTATCAGTTATGGAATTTATAAATTACTGATGTTTCATGCTTTATTTTGGTTTGGCTGCTCTTTGTGATAATGATTTTTCTATTGTTACTTGATGGAGTTCAGACTTGTGCTTGAAGGAGCTGATGATCCTAGTGGTTTAGTTCCAACAATCTCTACGTATCACGTTTGCAAGGTTTGTGCTTGTTTACTTTTGATATTAATTTTTCCCTTCTTTTGTTTACATATTGGATCTGTTTTGTGTTGCACCGATGAAGAATAAAATTCGTTATCATTTTTTGGAGAAATTAAAATGAAAAAGTTGGCTACTGCATCTCCCTCAAAATATGTTTTTTTGTCATTAGTTTTAACATTAACTTATTTATTTATTATTTTTTTTTCCTTCTTCATTTGGAAGTACTTTAGAAATTGATTCACGAACTAATTTGATAATATAAACACTTAACTATCTTCTCGATTGTGCTATTCATTAGTGGTGTTCAATGTGTGTGTCACCACCAGCTGTGAACCTTTGACATTGCCACAATCCTTTCAATGCCACATGTCGACAACCTTAATCTTCACAACAAAATTTCTACAAAAGTTGCACAAAGCTTAAAATCTCCATTTCTCTATTTGTTTATTTAAACTAGCACCATTAAAGGTACCGTACTTCCCAAAAAAGTCCAGCCCTCTTTCTCCCTTCGTCCTTTTAAACGGGCAACTTCGTACTTCCTTCCTATCATTGAACGATTTACTCTTTGATGAGGCAAGTGATTGCTAGTGGTTTAATTCAAAAGCATTCATTCGATTCGACCGTACTCTCTTTATTCTTCCTAAGACTCGTAGCTGAGGCATTTTTACTATTTGAGGGCTTCCCAATATTTTTGCCGGACCCTTTTGATGTTCTTTACTCTTCAATTTATCCATCTCTTCACCATCATGTCCCTGGCAATTATCTGGTACACTGGTACTCCTTTAGCTAACACTTCATTAGAAGATTCAACATGTTCATTATATGTTTCTCACATTCAAACTGTCGCTAAAACTCGAACCTAATTCATCTATTTCGAGGATTCATCTCGAGCACCAACTTCAATTAAATTAAGTCGAATTAGTGTCTGGATTTTTTTTATTTTAAATTAAGTCGACCAAAAAAATATAAAATAGAGTTAATGGAAGTTCAATTCTAATTTTTAAGTGATGTTGATAATACGGACTTGGTTTTTAAGAGAGGAGGGTGAAGTCGGGCTACGGAAGTTCAAGCTTTATAAGCAACTAGGAAATTGAGGCAGTGGTTTTTCTACTATTATTCATATATGTTAATTTAAATCTTGTTGCCTGATAACTTAGCTAAAGAGTCTACTTTAATCCCTAAAGACTTTAAAATAAGTACAAAATGTGGTGTTTCACATACACGCACATGTTAGGCACTAATTTTGAATTTGTTAATATAATTTTCTAGTCAGGTTAGGCATTTTTTTTTTAAAATCTTACGTTCATTTTTTTGTGCCTTTTTAATATTGTTAGTATTTTCATAATAGGTGATTCATTCAGATGGATAGGCTGGATTTAACTTCCGTGAGAAAATATCTCTATCTTATGATTTATAGGCGACGACAATGGATGAACATATTAAGGATCATGCTAAATGTGATATATATCATTGTCATACACCATTATCGAAAATACTATTTAAAAGCTCCTTGTTCGGTTGATGAGTACGATAGGTCACGTTATATCCACAGGGTAATATATTCTAGTAATATAAGGTGTCATAATGCAACACGCATGGACAGGTTTACTTTTAGAAAATTAGTTATGATGCTTCGTATAACTAGAGGACTTCGAGATACTAGAAATACAACTGTAGATGAACAAGTAGCTATGTTCTTGCACATACTCGCACGGGACCAGAAAAATCGTACTATAGGATTGAATTTTCAGAGATCCGGTGAAACTATTAGTAGAATTTTCAACAAAGTTTTAAAAGCGGTGATTAGACTACAGAGTCAATTGTTAGCAACTCCTATGCCTGTGCCTGAAGATTGCACTGATGACAAGTGGAAATGGTTTAAGGTAAATTTGAATTTGTAATTATTTAATTATTAATTACTACTAAAATATTATTATAAAAAATTAATTATGGTTGATTTTTCAGAATTGTATAGGAGCTATTGATGGTACTTATGTCGAAGTCAAGGTAGCTGAAATTGATAAACCTCGATACCGTAACAGGAAGGGTGATATCGCTACAAACATTTTAGGAGTATGTTTTCAAAACTTGCAATTTATTTACGTTCTTCCCGGTTGGGAAGGTTCAGCTGCTGATGGTAGAGTTTTAAGAGATGCTTTAAGTAGAAGAAACGGATTGCCAATATATGATGGTAAGTATAAGTGATTTGATAGGTTCCTTAAATTATTTTAATGTACTTTTACACTATTATTTTAATATACTTTTACACTAATCATAAAGTTATTTAATTATTTTAATATACTTTTACACTATTAAAATTAATTTCCTTCTTTCTAGGATATTACTATCTTGCTGATGCTGGATATACTAATGGCAAGGGATTTCTTGCGCCATTTAGAGGCCAAAGATATCATCTATGTGAGTGGAGAATAGGACGTCAACCAAATACTCCTGAGGAGTTTTTCAATATGAAGCATTCATCAGCTAGGAATGTTATTGAGAGATGTTTTGGAATGCTTAAAATGCGTTAGGAGATTATTAGACACCCAAATTTTTATCCAATTAAGACTCAAGGTAGAATTATCATGGCATGTTGTCTTCTTCAAAACCATATAAGGTTAAATATGCCGATTGATCCTTTTGAAGGTGATGAGTTTGAGGTTAATGGTCAAGAAGAGTTTGAATTTGATGGTGATGTGATATCGACAGTTGAACCAACAAAAGAATGGACAAATTGGAGGCAAAATTTAGCCAATCAAATGTTTAATTAATGGAGGCAAAACAGAAATAATCGTTAGAAGTCGTATTTATTTGTTAATACTTTTTTTTCCAGTTATTATAAAATTAAAGTACATTTAGTAATAATAAATTGTCAAAACACGTTGTTTTTTTTTTAATGTATGCATTATGATTTTTTCATGGCCAGAAAGGTAATTTTAAGTTTTATTTTCCACATTTATGATTTATACAATATTTCTCCATTACTTTTATATTTTTATTCAAGTATTTTTTTTTTGTGAGTGATTTTTCTTTACATGCGTTCTTACTTTTTTTGTTATTGATAGATATGTCTCGCCGAGGCAAAGGTACCAACCATGTGTGGACTGCTGAAGAGGATGCGAAACTCATTGAATGTATGCTTGAGTTAAAGCAAGGTGGGAGATTTAATGGTGAAAATGGAAATGGGCTGAGAAAGGGATATCAGGAAGAGCTAGAGAGGATGTTAAGGGAGAAACTACCTGAACATGGTTTGAAAGAGAAGCCACATATTGAATCTCGTTGCAAGACAATGAAGAAACAATATTATATGATTTATGAAGTTCGAAATAATGGACAACTAAGTGGTTTTGGTTGGGATGACCAAAAGAAATGTGTGACAGCAAGTGCAGATGTATGGGATGACTATTTGCGGGTAAGCATTAATTGTGTATTTTTATTTTATGGTCTTTAAAATTAAGAAGTATGATTTTTTTTTTATGTTGTATTCTAACAGAAATTTTTTCTCCACCAGGCTAATCCTGAATGCACATTCATGAGAAATAAGTCTTTTGTTTATTATGATGAATTGACAATTATATGGGGTCAGGATAGAGCTAATGGGAATAATGCAGAAGCTCCTGCAGATATGGTTGAAGAAATAGTTAGAGAGGAAAATGTTGATCAAGAAGATGGTGAGGAATCTGATGGTGACGATGACCCCAATACACTGGCAGCCAATCCTGGAGGCGACGGAACTTCCAAAAATCCAGAACGTAAGAGAAGAAGAAGTGCAGATAGTTTAATTTTGAGTTTAGAGCATTTGACTAATGCCCTCACAACTCAAATGCAAAAATCTGATGAGCAAATGCTTAAAGTGGCAGAAAATTTTGCCGGAGGAGGTAATCAGAATGTGGACAATCGTCACAAACTAAATGAAGAGCTGCAAAAAGTGGATGTGCTGACAGCAGTAGAGAAACAACGAGCTGCTATGAAACTTGTTCATGATCCAAATTTGTTGGACTACTTTTTTACTCTTAGCACTGATGAGAAGGAGATTTTTCTGGTTGAGCTTCTGGTTTAATGAGTCAGGAGTTAAGTTGATTATAATTGTTTTTATTTTTTCATTTGAATTTATCATTAGAAAATTCATTTCTTGTTCTACTTAAGAAACAATGGTTGAATGATTGAATAATTATGTTAAGATTTTTTTTTTTGAAATGATTGAATAATTATGTTTGTTTAATAATAAGAATAATAATGTTATAAAATTTGTTAATTTTTTTTTTTTGAAATTTTTGACGTTTTTATGCAGAAAATAACTAATATATATGAGGGAGGGTGAGAGGTGAAAAAAAAAAAAAAATCTTTCCATAATAAAGAAAGGGTAAATTTGACAAATTAATAGGTTAGATATTACATTCTGAAAAACTCATATGCCATCCAAACACTACAGTGGGAATATCTATTATATTCCTGTCAACATTCTTTTTAACACCCAAACAAAAGAAAGTGATTTCTTTTTACTTTACTATCCTTGTCATTAAATTCCGAGCAATTATATTCCTCAAATACTTTCCTTTCCTATGAACCAAACAGGCCCTTAGTGAAACAATATAATGAGAAAACATAGTGACTGATGTGTACCCCCTATCTTGTTGTCACTTTTTGCCGTTGAAAATTTTTTTTTCCCTCCAAAATTACCCTTTTACCGGGTGCTTGACTTTAGGGTGCATCAGACCCAAATTTGTGGACAAAAAAATGTGTAGAGTTTAAAAAGTGGACAAATATAATGTTCTCGCGCTTTCAAAACGCGAAACAAGAAAATTAACTTAAAACTTCGCGTATGTGAAACACGAATCAGTTTAATTATTTTTATCCCAAATTCAACCGGGAAGAAAGAAAAAAAAAATTGAATTAAAAAAGGAAAACCAAAAATAGTGTTTTGGAAACGCGATTAATCTAATTCGCGTTACAGAAACGCGAAAAAAATTTCGTGTTTTAAAAACGTGAAATGGTATAAATTTTAAATTTTAAATAATTTGCTGGTTGAAAATAATAATTTAGCATTTTGAAAATGCGAAAAAAAAACTTTTAGCGTTTTGAAAGCGCAAAAAATAATTTGATGTTTTGAAAACGCGAAAATATCCAGAAAATCTACTCAGCCACTCATTCGGATCCACGTGTATTTTGATGATAAGTCTTGAATGTATTCGCGTTTTGTAAACGCGAAATTTAAGATTCACATACCAAACCAAGCAAAATAACAGCATTTCTTCCCAAACTTTTTTCATTATGTTGAGCTCCGATTTTTCTTCCCAAACTTCTTTCATTCTGTTGAGCTCCGATTTTAAGTTTCACTCCGGAGGACTTAGCTAAATCCGTGAAAGCTCTTATTTCCTTTAAAATTGAGAAGTTGCTCCGAAATTAAAGAAGATTGATTTGAGTTCTGAAGCCTATTTAAAACCCTAAGTTTTAACATTCAGGTAAGTTTATTTCGTTATAAAAAACATTTACTTTTTTATGCCTTATTGTAAGCATAGAATGATTTACGCATTATTATTAGTTTATAAATAATTTTTATTTAGTCAATTAACGGTGGATTTTTAATTAGGCTGATAAAGTGAATTGAAAGAAATATTAGTTAATAGAATGTTAAATTAGATGAGCTTTGTAAATTATTGTATATCGATTTCTGTAAAATAAAATAAAATTATAATAATGATATTGAATTTTTGAATATTTTTAGCATAAGAATAAATTATGTAATTCAGGCATATTTAGATTTAATATTAATGTTTAGCGTAGAAATGAATTTTTAAATTCAGGCATATAGTTGTTCTTTTGAAATTATTAAATCTATAAACGGGGTAAATACTGTTTCGGCAAAACTAAAATTCAAAATGTATTCTAGTGTTCTGATTTCGTAGGAATTGCTTTTGCAGGCCGTAAATGTCTTTCACGGTGACAGTTCGTCTGAAAGTATACTAGAATACTACTTATACAACTGAACCTGATGGGACTATCACGGTACAGCAGGATGCGCCGGACGGTTATCTTATCATTGATCGTATGTTAGATTTCTCGGAACTTGTTGATAAGGTATGTGGTGTGATGGAAGTTGATAGAGAAGGGATGTATATTGATTTTTCTTTGGTATGGACGGAGAGGTCAGGAAAAAGGTCTCGTGTGCACATTAATGATGATAATACTGTTCGGTTCCTTTATCTTTGTGCTGATAAATGGCTGGAATTGTACCCTGAAAATGTTGAGAGAATAGGTTGTGTTTATGCAATACATCTGGCCAGGATTTTGGTGCCAGCACTAGTGGTGATAGAACAGTTGAAGACAATGAAGATGGAAATGAAGATGAAGATGAAGATGGAGATGAAGATGAAGATGAAGATGAAGATGGCGGGGGTGTCGAAAGCAGTGATGATGAGTACGTCCCATCGGATGAGGACTCAGATGACGACACTGATTTTGAGTCATCTTCTTCAGTACCATATATTTTTGACGACATCAATGGATGGGACAAGACTTTAGAGGAAGTAGATTCTGATGGGATTAAAATGTGGGACGGCAATCCGTTGACGGTTGACCTTGATGTACATTTCACCAACAAGCCTGAGGCACAGGTGGCAGTGGGAGAATGGAAATTGCTACATGGTTGGACTTTCCGGGTGAAAATGAGCTCTAAACGAACATGGTATGTCGAATGCGAGACCTGTGGGCCCAAATATCCGAAAGAGCGTCTTCACGGCTATGATTGCCTGTGGAAGGCGCGAGTTTCGCTACAGAAGCCCACCGATACTTGGAAAATGATGGTATGGTCCGATTCCCACAACTGTCTTGGGGCAAACAAGAGAAACGAGTCCTGAAACATCACGTCTTCTATGATTGCTAGACTGGTTGCCCAAATGTGCGAAAATATCCATACTTTGCAGTTGCCCAAATTCAAATAGAAGTTTTGAAGAGGTACCAAGTTGAATGTAGCTACAAGAAGGCATGACATGGTAGAAGAAAAGCACTTGAGGCTCTATATGGTACATGGGAAAGTAATTTTCAACAACTGCCCAGCTTCCTTGATGCATTGTTCATGTCAAACCCGGACACCTATGTGCAATTCAAGTTTAAGGAAAATTCAGGAAGCTCGCAAAGGTTTGTATGTAGGTATGTTTTCTGGGCATTTGGGCCATCTATACAATTATTTCATGCTTGCTGGCCAGTAATAACCATCGATGCCACCCACCTGCAAGGATCCTACAAAGGAAAACTAATTGTGGGATGTGTGAAGTGCGCAAATGGCACAATTGTTCCCATCGCATTTGCTCTTGTGGATGAAGAGACCATACACAGCTGGAAATGGTTCTTGAAGTATTTGAAAAAGTTTGTTCTAAAGGATAGGAAGACCTGTATTATCTCTGATCGAAATCAGGGTATCCTTACTGCCATGGACATCATGTTGCAAAAATTTCCAGAGATGGGAGTCTACCGGTATTGTCTAGAGCATGTAAAAGCAAACTTGGTTGGGCATTTTCGAAAGGAGAAACTGGGAGGCAACTGTCAAATGATTGGTTCAGCTACGCAAAAGACAAGGTATTTGGCAGAGTGGCAAAAATTAGAAGAAAAAAATGACAAGGCAGCTCGTTGGCTTCAGATGCTGGGTGTTGAGAAGTGGACCTGTTTACACAATGGAGGGCATCGTTGGGGAGAAATGACCACTAACATTTCAGAGACTTTCAATAATGTGCTGAAAGGTGCTAGATTCTTCCCGATCACAGCTTTGATCCTAGCATCTTTTCAGAAAAGCAACAATCTGTTTCAGACAAACATTGATATGATCCAAAAATGTCAGAATGTTCTACCTCCTAAGCCCATGAAACTGTATGAAGAGGCCCGGAAGAAATCAATGAGGCAACAGGTAAACTAGTTTAGCAAGAGAAACCAGAAGTACGAAGTGGTTACAATAGCACCTGATAATCAACCATGGAAGGCTGAGGAGAAGCAAGTTGTGCTCTATGCAGATCGAGAGTGCACTTGCGGAAGGTGGTAGACTACCAGATTTCCTTGTTCCCATGCACTTCGAGTTGCCCGTGAGCTAGGTGACGACCCCTTCCCACTTTTTGATCCATGTTACGCTATGCAGCAATGGTACCAGTAGTTTTCTGGAGAATTCAACCCAATCATGGAACCATGGCCAAAGGCAACGTGGCAGATCAAGCCAGATGACACTAAACTTGTCCACCATGCTGGCCGGGGTCGGACGCGTGTGAATCGAAAAAAAAGGTGTGATGGATTATACAAGCAAATCTGGCCAGCAGAGACTCCAAACTTGCAGTTTATGTAAATACAGGGCCATAATGCCAGGGCTTGCCCATATGCGGCAGTTTGCGCACGATGTGGAAGTTTAGATCATGATGTTGTGGAATGCCCATTTTCTCATCCACCTACTGACAGGACCGCTATTGATAAACTTTACGATCCATATGGAATTTGTGGTGTGCCTAAGATCAATTCTGATGATTCTGATAATGCGTAGTGATGATTCTGATGATGCGTAGTGATGATTCTGTTAGTGTTTATATTTGTGTGTTGTTTTGAACATTCATGTAATAAATCTCAAAGCATGATTCTTTTTGAGTTTGTATTTGTGTTAGTGTGTTGGTTTGGATGTTTGTGTGATAAACTTTAATTTTGCGTTTATCAATAGTCTAAGGAGAACGGGAACATTTGAATCGCGTTTTAGAATTCGCGTATATTGTATATGACTCACCAGATTCAGCCACGTGTCCAAATTCTGGTGAGTCACACTATTCGCGTTTCAGAAACACGATATTTTGGCCGGTTTAAATATTTTTCGAGTTTCTAGAACGTGAAATGTTTCTGCCTTACAAAGAATTCGCGTTTCTCATACGAGAATTTGTGTTTATGCAAGAGTCCAGGACTTGGACTCCAGTATAATTAACTTTAAACACCTAATTAAAAAGTACGTCAAAATTTTTTAAAAAAATTAAATTTTTATTTTTAAAAAATAATTTTTTTATTAATATTATATTATTGTATTATTTTTTATTTTAATTT